TCAGTCAGTCCACTTCTTTTATTTTGAAGACTATGGAAAACATTTTTTTTATTAAATTCGATAAACCAAGAGTTCAATCGAAGTACACTTGGAGGCTTATCTATTTTTTCCTGAAATATCTGACACCATTACAAAATATCCTACAGAAAATGCTAACCAAAGTGTTAATTCGTAATTTTATTAATAACAGTTCAATAAGCAGCAAGTATGCATATGCCAGCAACAAAATGTCTAATATTACAAAAATATAGTAAGCACTTTTATTAATCGCACGTGAAAATCGCTGAATCATACTTTCGGTGTCCGAGGACGGCAGAACTGGCGCTGTGAGGCTCTGGACTTGAGCTGACTGATACAATCTATACTTATTTTTATAAGAAAAATATTAGTCTCATGTATTTTCCACTCAAAACACATGAATCAAGATGCTTTAGCACTTTTCGTATTTTCCACTCAAAAAACATGAATCAAGATGAAGATTTCTGTCTTCTGGGTTTTTGAAAAACTTTACTTTATAATATGCCATTATGAAAGCTAAAAAAACAAATTAGGAATAAAACTGAAACCGGACATATCAGCTTATGGTCCGTCCTGACAATGTTCCGAGTGAGAATGTAAATAGCCTATGACACTAACACAGCTCGTGTTATAAGCTAGTAAGAGAGTTTCTCTAGTAGCGAAACCACGGAAAACCTAAGTACATGTTCTACTAACACAGCTCGTGTTATATGCTAGTAAGAGAGTTATTCTAGTAGCAAAACCACGGAAAACCTAAGTACATGTTCACGACATTGAAAGAAACAAATTTTAGTCTGCAAAACGTTGCTATGGTAACTGGTACCTCGGGGAACGAACATAAGCACTGCGGGTCGGAGCGAGGCTGCTACGCAATTAACGAGGTTAAACCGCAGATAACGTAACCATCCTGAGACGCGTATGCAGACGAGAAGACTGACAATCAAAGTCTTTCGCCATGCCTTCACTTGGGCGACTTTATGAAACAGGTTTCTAACGAGACAGACCATGTACCGGTAACAGGATTACATAGCTAGAGAAGTGTCGTCCCCACACCCAGGAGGGTTTCTTCACCACGCCACCCCCTTGTCAACATAGACTTAACTCTCAACTAATTATTGTGTGCCCGTAAAGTTTCCTTACATCATTTCTCGAAAGCAAATTGGTATTATATAAAGCGGATGAGAAATTGTGTCTGGCCCGTAAGTTAAGGATGAGGCCGGCGTGGATTCAGGAGCGGTGGGAGGGCTTGGAACTTGTGGGTTCTCGATTGTCTGGGTAATGCTTAAGGTCCTGTCGCTTTCACAAGAATTCTCAGACCCGCTGACAGAATGCTGAGTCTCTTATATTATTCAGAAATATCAAACGTATATTATGATTTTCTTTAATATTCTTAAAATGTCTGGTCACAGATCAGTGCTACTGAGTTCCCATCTTTCACTCTATTCTACGAAGCCATTACTTTAATGCAGATTAGAGGACGGCCTTCTTCGGCTAAAAAAAGCCATAATACTACAGGCAGAACAAATCAGTTTTTTACGATTTGCATTGGACGGATAACTTTATTTTCCTTCCGAAGACGTTTCCATTTCATGTGGGTCGTCTGACAACCTGTGGCTTCCAACTTGATCTCAGTGTCCTTCTTCGGGGATTTTCGTTATTTCCTCCTTCAAAACCTTCTTTGGGATTATTTCTGCGTTCAAATCTCCATAAAACCTTGTACTATTATTTGTAAATTTGCCTTGCAAGGTTTCGTCTTCAAAATCCTCTTTATATTCCTTTTTCCCCCCTTTCTTAATACTCTCTTATACGAGTTTTTATCCTGTCCTTCTCAAAATTCTCATCTCTGCTGCAGTTAATCTACTGAAATCCGCCTTGATGTTTGTGTCCAAGTTTCTGCTCCATATTGAGATCGGGACCACACAAATACTTACGTAACGGTAATAATTTTTACACTTTTAACATAATCTCAGTGCAAGCTTCCTGGCAGTCAGGTTCTAGTACAACTGATTTCAACGCACGGGTTCTCCTTTGAAAAGCTGTAGGTAAAGAAGAGTCCTGCTTTATCAGACGCACAGTTCATAAAATCTCGTAACTTAATCCACCTTCACACTCTGCGTATCCCAGTTACATCATAAAATTATCTGTGCTTTGATGTGATCCATTATCTTTAAAGTAATTTACAAGCTTCAGGTTCAAAGCCTTTAAGCTACAGGGAGGGTAAAATTACGAAACTCTTCACATTGCATTCCTATCACAAAGACGCGCCCTTGAGCGAAGACGCTCGATTAGGACAGCGTTACCCTAACTTTCCACAGAGAGAAATTTATCTACAAAGGAGAAACTTGGTTTTATCTTACCACACGTTTAGAGTATTTCTTCGGGATTAACACGGGAGGTTTAAGTAAATTTAAGCTGCCTTCCTATACACCATGCAGGCGCTTGGGGGGTGAGAGGTGGTAAAGCTAGCCGGGAAGATGAAATATTCTGAACTAAATTTTATGACGTGGGTCTATTAATCGAATTTAAGCTCGTCTTAATTTCTTCCGGTGATAACCTGTCATTTTTTCGAAGGATTGATTAGCTTTGTCAGTACTATGATGCTGTTACTACTTCACTGGGTCCCAAATATAAATAAAGAGGGTTATTTAGAAAACGTTTTCGGAACAGTCCCTGAATAATCTTGATTGATCACTCTGGTTGCAGTGTTCCTGCCAACTGCTGCAGCACAATTACATGCGCGCATTATGTGTTCCAGCAAATGTTTCGATACGAAACATTAATTGTTAACAGCGCCACTACATGTGAAATGCAAGGTTCATCATATGTCAAGCGCTTCCATAAATATCATTATCGGAATACATAACGTTAATATGTTTCCGATTAGTCGTGCTGGAGTACAATTAACCTTTGTTGTCACTACAACATAATTTAAAGCAACACGCGTATGATAAACGTGGTCATAATTTAAGGCTACTTCAGCATGCAATCAGATCAATGCATTTTACTACAGAAGGGATATCGTACATTAACTGTTCTGCAATGAACAATAAAATTGAATTCAGAATTAGAATTCTGTCAGGGATAAAATTATTGTCGGCATTACACATGACTGAAATTATGCAAATAAAATTTATATAAATTTCTGCAGTAACAAAACTTCCCATCAAAATATCCTTGCCCTGAAATGTTTTAATATTAAATGATAATTGAACACAGATTCTCTTCACTAGCCGTCAGACGCTCGTTACTCTACACAACATCTCTTGATAAATATAACGTCTGACTACAATAAGCAACTTACCATGAAAATGGAAAGCTACAAACAGAACTACGGATCATTATAATATATTGCATCAAATATCTAATAGTTTTTAAAATATTTTAAATTGATAAAAACCTGAAGACGACGGTATTACCCGTCGAAACATGTCGTTTTAATAAAAGCGCTAAAAAATATAATGTAAAATCGTATTTACGATTAAGAGCGCTAATATAATATTTTGCACAAAGAATGTTTTAATATTATATAATTTTTACAACACCAATAAACTTCAAACGTTTGTGTATAGACTGTACAAAATAAATATATTTAATCAAACACAAACATGACGCATATAAGATACAAAAAGATTTAAGTTGTCTTAAATAAGTAGAAATGTCACTTTGCAACGTGTGAGCGTGAGTATATGAGCGAAGAGGTTGAGTGAGAGTGAATGAATTCAAGAAATGTGGAGTGACAAAAATGAGTGAATGGTAAGTGGCTGACAGTGAGTGAAACTGAGTGTCAGAAAAAGAGTGGATTGTCAGCAAAAATGAGTGTGAGTGAGTGGACGTGAGTTACGACATTTAGTCAGAAATCGAGTGTCACTGGGTGTACACATAATGGATACCTGTCAGCCTATGCACACTACAACGCACGCTGAAAGCACAGTCATCGAGTTTCAGTGCACACATTTCACAGTTCAGTTACCAGCAATTTTACACACCAAGTCTATTTAAAGTCAAACGCTGTAAATTTTAAGCAGACCTGCGTTCAAACTTAACACTGATTACAAGTAAACACGTGCCATTCTTAGTAATTCGACTGCCAATCTGAATCGGACCTTCGTGGGTTCATTTGATTCTCAAAATAAACAGCAACACTCTCACCAAACATCATTAGAAGACCGTGTTTTTTACTGACGATAAGATGTGTTTTCTTTGAAGCAGAAACCGAATTATTAACTATTATTTACGTAATAGTTAATAAAGTCGTTTTGTCAGACACAGTACATTGTGCTTTATTTTCATTAAATTAAGATTTTAGTCCGTACCAAATTTAATTTAAATCTGTCATTAAAATGGGAGTTAAAACATGCTGACGGACAGACAGAGACAGTCACAGCGGACATCTGGTTCTAATAGTCGTTCGTATGGGCGCGCATTCAGAGCGAAAGTGCCCGATTATTATGCAACCCGCCTCACACCACCAGTGCCACCTATTATTATCCGTCCGTACTGACCGCTGTCCTGGGACTTATCGACAAACAGGCTAGACTGATCGAACAGCTTCGGTGCAAACTGTCACTAACAGACCATTAGTAGAGACACAAAATGACTGTGTCGAATGAAATTTTGTTATACTTCATTGTACGAATCATCTGTCTCAAAGTATGTACGAAGTACAACAATCTCGTATCAAAAATGAACGGAAAGAAATAAAAATAATATTTTTTATTTAGCTCAGTCAGTATAGTGACTGGCCACGGACTGGACCACCGGGGTTCGATCCCCGACGGGGGCAGAGTACTTGTCCTCTGTCCTCTGCGTCCATGCCGGTTCTGGATGGTGAGTGGTTAGCATCACGCCCCGGGAACTAAACTGAGAGGGTGAAATGGACGTGCCGCGTAGCACGCACTGAATAGATAAAAATACGTGCAACGTTTATTGTGAAGAAAGAATTGAAAAGAACGCGGACTCAGTCGTTCCTCTCGTCTTTTCAGGGTTCCTGAACGCCAACTCGAACGCGTACTTCCGGTCGCCGGCGAACTACGGGCTCATGGACCAGATAGCGGCACTCCACTGGCTGCAGGAGAACATCGCCGTTTTCGGGGGAGACCCCACCAACGTCACCATCGTTGGCCACGGCACTGGCGCGGCCTGCGTCAATTTTCTAATGACGTCCAGCGCCGTGCCTGACGGTGAGTCATTTCGGTTCTACCACATAAACTATTTCGTGATACAATGAGACCCTTGGCTGCAGCGGCCGTCACCAAATTCCATGCTTCAAGGCCACCACCACCCCCTCACAGCGCGGGTCTAATTAAACAGTACAGCTACGCTGCAAGTTCTGAGCTGTCTTCACTCGCCAGAGCTCCTCTGTTCGTGTTGCAACGTTGCGTAATTTGATGTAACCCTGAAGCACGTAATTTGGTGACGGAACGTTCAAAAGTGGTAAGTTCAATTTAACTCTTTGTCTCAGTACTCCCAAAATAACCTGTAAATTACCTGACTCTAGACTGAATATTATATTGAGGTATTGAAATTATTATTTTATTATTATTGAGTGTTCTGTCTGACGACAGGTCCATTGCTCTGCCCAAAAAGAGCTCGCCAGTTTTCCAGTCATTAAACAGTTCAGCCATAATTAATTTGAAACTTCACTACACATTTAGCCACAATGATATGTTACATCATACGTCTGCGGAGACTTACGTAATACGACCATGTTTTGCACTGTAATGCCAACATGTCTGCAGGCCTACACACTTCTGGAACACGAAAGTCCCTACGGCTACCTACTGCAGAACCAACAGATCAGGAACAATTGCCTAGTTACAGGAGAAGTTATCTTGCTTAATCTAGGCCTATGGCCCACATAAATTACACACAATTTAATCTTCCGAGAAGTAAAATTCACGCTAACAGCCAAGAACTGTTTCACTCCTTAATGTTGGCATTCTTATAATGTGATCGGGGTCCAGAATTAAAAATAAACGTTCCAGAACTTCAGGAAAATAAACCACCCTGATAACTAGCTTGGAATTTACTGCAAGCATCAGTATGAAACGTCTAAACGGTATAACGCGGAAATATGAGGAAATGTTACTATATTAAATAAATAATAATAAATTATGAAATAATTTTCCTTGGAGTTAATTAGTCATATAGTTGGTACGACTGATAATTGTCCGTGATTACTGCAGTCAATATTATCGTCGTTTATACAAAATACGTCTACAATAATTTATTCATTCCTTCCTGCGAAGAGCTGATGCTTTACAAAATGTAATATTTTGTTTCTGCCTGCATAAATTCTACCGCTATTTTATCAGTAGGTTTTATCTGGCGATTTAACACTTTTCCAACTTTACAATATGAATCTCAGCTTTAAAACAACTACGTTCAAGGACTAAAGACTCAAGCTTTCTTCCAATATTTCAGTCTGTCCAACGCTGGTAACTCACCAACCTGAGAGAAGTAACTTCCATCTATGCAAAGTATTGTGGAATCTGCAAGCAGATCGTAATTCTCATTTTTAATATTTTTGCTTCTAATTGCCTAGGTCAAAACTGAACCACGAGCCACCGGTTGCCAACCCATGGTGCGCTATATTACAAGCTGAAAAACTTCACTCCTGTGTTAAAAAGATCCGAACTATGTTTCTAAATGGTTTCAACGATGGCGCATTACGTTCAACATTGCTATTTATCTCACTTCATCCATCGTCTCAGTAGGGATTAGCCCCCTCCATTGGACCCACCAGTATAGGTATTTTCTCCTGAAGACGGCAGAAAAACCAGCTACCGAAACGTAGTATAATATTGATCGACGGATCAACATCAACGTTGAAAGATTTGTACTTTTGTCTCATTTTAAAGAGGTTAATTGTCCTGACTTTATTTTGTGGAGATCCAGATTTTAGTTCTAAGGTAGAAAATCTTTACCCGACGTTTCGACTGGCGTTCCTCCACGCTGCAGGCATCAACCGGTGTCCTTGTGCGTTCTCCACATCTGGTGTAGACACGTCTGTGCGACAGAGAAACGTCATTTCCGACTGAACGTAGACCGAGCCTGGGGACAGAAAACGCTGGTCTCTGACACCGTAAACAGTTTGTTAGCAAAGGAAACATAAAACGTGCCGAACTGTTTCGGAGCTGATTTGATCTGACGCGGATCCATTTTATTGCACTAATTTATTCGTCGCTTTAAATTCGCGACATTAAAAGCGTATCAGAATTCTTTGCCATTAAATCCAAGTGCTCTGTAAACGCAAAGATCGAGTAAAGTAAGAATCAGTGCCTGTGATCAAGTTCAGTGGCGTATGGGTAAAACGCTTTGCTGATATTTAAGGATTTTGTTCCCTAAATCAAATACAGAAACTGGCTGATTTCGCTGATTAGTGGCGATATTTGACATTTGCGAGTCCTAGTTTACATAACAAGTCATTAAACCATAAAT